TTTTGGTGGTGGTGCTAGGGATTGAGCCCAGGGCCTTGTGCATGCGAGGCCAGCCCTCTACCAACTGACCCCAGCCCCTAGATTTTTTTTTTTTTTCATCTATTCTATTTCCGCCCTTGTTAGGGTCAAGGTGGTGCTGGTTCTGCAAGGATCTGGGAAGCCTTCGTCATTTTCTTTCCTCTGGAGTAATTTCTGTACCCTGTACATGGACACCGAGTCTGAAGCCTGAGGCTGCATGGCGGTTGGTCACCTTCTTAACGTACGCTCTAAGGATGAGCCTGAGGATGTCTTCCCCACRTGGGGTCAGTGTCGGTGGCTCCTGGTTCCTAGGACATCTTCGTCAGTGGAGTGGAATATGGAATCTTTCCAGCTGCTCCAGAATTTGTGGCGGGAAGTGAAAACCACCGTCAAAGAGGGCAGTGCACCTGGCACCCTCAACAACGTCCAGTAGAAAGACGCCACCAAAAGGCTGGTGACCGGACTGACTGGGGTGGGAGTTTCGGCCAGGAAATCCAGCCCCTAGTCACCGCAGGCCGTGTCCCTGGGGTGGGGCCACGGAGATGTTGAAGAGGTGGCCGGGATCAGCTTTTCCACGTCAGAGAAAATGAGGGGATGCCCCTCCACCTTAGGACCTCACTGAAATGTCCTCTGTGCACCTCAGGAGACWCCAGCCACAGGTACCATGGACAGGCCACAGCAGGGTGCACGTGGGCTCTTGGAGAAGCAGGGATGGCCCAGAGCCAGCAACAGCAGCACCAATTAAGTGGCAGAGACAGTCCCTGTCCCCTGCCTCCCCCCGCCCCCAGGAAGAAAATTCAACCGGCCCAGCTCTCGGTGGGTCCGTGGGTCCGTGGGTCCGTGGAGTGCTGCTGCCCTCTGGACTCCCCTCCTGCACACACCCTGCGTGCCCCCCGGCTGGCTCCCAGGGCTCCCAGGGCTCCGGGGGCTGGCTTCAGGAACAAGGAGAACTGAGGCCAGGGAGGCGGGGAAGGGCCTGGGGAGGAGCCGGAGGGTCTCTGGGGGCCCGGCAGAGCKGCTTTGATCCACAGCGTGGCTCTGGGCCCTTCCCGCCTGCAGGCACCACCTGCCTCCCCCGCCCAGGTCAGGGGCAAGRGAGACTCTCAGGTCAGCGGGAGGCAAGGAAGACAGGGCAGCCCCGGGAGGGCCCTGGTGGGAGCAAGCGGCCCTCAGGGAGGGAGACGCACGGTGGGCAGTGTTTGCCCCGCACCTTCTCAGGGGATGCAGAGCTCACCTGGAGAAAACCGAAAGGGAAGTGGGGCACAGGGATAGACCCCAATTCACCAATCACCAATGATATTGACTAGAAAACCACACGTACACCTATATACTGTGTGTGTGTGTGTGTGTGTGTGTGTGTGTGTGTGTGTGTGTGTGCAGGAGCTATATGTGCCTATAAATATTTATAGTGAGAGTTATTGACATGATTGAGTACATTTTATTCATTCCCCCTGATTTATAATGTCCAATCTTTTTAAAATTTTTTTTTTAGTTGCAGGTGGACACAATACCTTCATTTATTGGT